TAAATGAAGCTTTCGAGTACACTTCTGACATGTCACATCTTTTTTGACATGACAAATGTGATTTTGGCAACAATTTTCCTGTCTTATTGTTGTTGATAGATTTTTGATGAAATCGCATCATTTTGAATAGTTTCATTCTTTTAGAAATATGGGTTTGGCAACACGTTTTCATCGTATTTCTCAAGGAGGTTAGAATAGAAGGAGGGAGGGTTCGCAGTTTCCTCCACTATCGGGGAATGAAACTCCGCCGAACAAGCGGCGTCCATGTTTGTGACTTCAAAACATTGCATTACGGCAGACATGTACGTGTTTCTAAGCTGTTCCGTGCATTTATTTTCCAGTAAAAATATGTTAAATTTATAATGAAATCCCTCGCTATTGTTGAATTTTTGTTTTAAAGTAATAAAGATGATATCCATAATTTACTATGTACAGCAAATTATTAAGAAATAGTTCGAAATCTAAATGAATGCGTATAACATTAAAGTCTTTAAAAAATGATTTTTCTGCATATTTCACGAATTTGCTTAGGTTAGAAAATAAATCTTAATAAAATAAAACAGATTTATGTGAATTCATTGATTTCAGTTTATGCGCATTTCATATTTATTAATCTCAAAGAAACTGCCTTAAATTAAGTTGAATTACATAAATACACCTATATAAGTTTTTGGATACATCTTTCCACATGTTCAATTGTGTAAATATTTTACTTAATTTTATCACTATACTGCCCAGAAATTTGTAAGTTTATGCAAAAAATTTTTAACAACAGAACAGTTTATCTTAACTTAAAAAAATGAATAATAATTAATATATAAAGAAAAGCATTGCTTTATTTAACACCTTTACAATTAATAAAAATAGTAACAATTGATTTCTTACTTTTCATGAAAGTTATAAAACGAATTAACTAAAACGTTCAAATTATACAATTTAAATCCTACCATATAGCATTGTATCTTAAGGAACGAAGATACCAGCTATAAACAGAAACATTAAAATGTATTTAATATATTTTGATTATAGTTATATTAAATAACCTATTTTAAGTCCTTTTTTTCACATCTGGAAAGAAAACCACATGACATTGTGATATTTTTGACATAGTTGTCATATTACATAAAAAAAGAAAATTAATAGTTACGTGTGAAAAATAATGCCCGGAATTTTTTTCGAGAATCTATTTGTGCATTAATATGCAATACAAGCTGACATGCTTCAAAAAGAAAAGAAAAAAATGTTGCAATGACAGACTTCCTTGCACAAGTCACGGTGATAACAGGAAGATGGCCGCCAAGCTTCACCGTTTGAGTTGAACCTTCCCTCCTTCTATTCTAACCTCCTTGGTATTTCTTATGTCACTGTTTTTAAGAGATTGGCATAATTCATTGTCATTTTTATATAAATATAATACATATTTATTGAATTTTTTTGATAAAGTTGTTCTGTAGAGTAAAATTCTGCGCGGAATTTAATGTTTTTTGAGTTGCTTTCATGTTATTTTTTGCTTATTTCACTGTTTGTAAGATATTGAAATGTTTTGCATGATTTTTTATCTTCAACGGAAAGTTGGTTAACTTTTTTATTAGGATAATTAATATTTGTATTAAGGGATATAGCTTATTTCATTGTAATTTTTTTCTCTTGAAAATATAAGATAACATATTATTAATTATACTTTGCTTTTCAGAATTTTTGTTTTTTGTATCTTTTATGTTATTTATTGCTCATTTCACTGTTTTTAGAATATTGAAAAGTTTTGAGTGATTTTTTTTTTTAGGAAACAAAGTTCTTAACATCCTTTATACCATTTAAGTTCGTAAAATTTTTCAAAGGCAAGTTTGTTAATTTATTTTAATTATTTATTAGGATAATTAAGTTCGTATTAAGGGATATAGCTTATTTCATTGTAATTTTGTTATAGGTAATAACTTTTTTTATGAAGTTGTTCTGCAGAGTAAAATTCTACGCAGTTTTTAAATTTAACGTTTGGTGTTTCCTTTAGCCATTTTTCCGGTACATTTAAACGCCAGACGATGGCTGCTAGTTTATTATAAATAAACAAATTTTTTTTATAACAAATAAAATAAATAAAAATAAAGTAATGACATTTCATCGTGCGCCATCTAGTGAAAACAGAATTGTCTGTTTATTAATTTGTTTTATAGTTTTTCTTTATAGGCTGTTTTCGACACACAGTGAGAGAAACATACATACATTCATGCAGATTCTTCATTATTTAATTTCTTTAAATATAATGTAGAGACATTAGGATTTTTTTTTTTTTTCTTTTGAAGCAGGCAACATGAAAAATTAGCAAACGTCTTGCCCCGGGAATCGAAATACGGACTTCTGGAATATCGGCCCAGCGTGCAGAACCACTACACCACGAAGGCACGCTAAGAAAGTGGGAGAAATACCTTATATACTCCCCTTTTTAAAGGGCAACTGGGATTTCCAGGGGACCTAATCGCCAAATCCTGGGTGTGGAAAAACCTCATCCAACACCTTTTTAGTTCGGGCACCACTGTAGAGCCACGGACCTCTGGAATACCGGCCCAAAGTGCAGAACCACTACACCATGAAGGCACGCTAGGGAAGCGGGAGAAATATCTTATATATTCCTCTTTTTTAAAGGGCAACTGGGGTTTTTAAGGGACCTAGTCGCCAAATCCTGGGGGCGAAGAATCCTCATCCAGCACCCTTTTAATTTGGGCGCCACTGTATAGACATTAGGCTAATTGGAAGAGCCAGAGACATGAAAAAATAGCAAACGCCTTCGCCGGGAATCGAACCACGGACATCTGGAACCTCGACCCAGTGTGCAGAACCACTACACCACGAAGGCACGCTAAAAAAGTGGGAAAAATACGTTTTAATAATACCCAGCTAAAATATGGGGTGGCAATAATATGAAAAGTGAAAGGGACATTTATATTGAGCAGGCACAAAATGCCGTTTCGAGACTAATAGCCTTTTTGGGCTAACACCCCTTGGGGATAAAAAGGTTTTAGAAAGCCATTTTAGTAAGAAAACTGAACATTGATACAATGAACTACAGGGAAAAAAAAAAAAAAAAAAAAAAAAAAAAAGAGAAAAGAAAAAATTCTGAAAGGTTTCAGATTTTAAATTACATCCAAAGGGGCTTTTTTTTTAACCTTTTGTGTGCTACCTTTATTTATTAAATATTATGTTCTACGTACTCAAACTATAAAATTCAGTTCAATAGCAGTATCGCAAATTAATTTTATAATGGGCATATCTTTAGAATTTTCAATTTTCTCGCTCGCTGGAGATTTTTTTTTTTTTTTTTTAATTTCGTACAGAGTTGCCATTCCTCGCTTTGAAATAGTTTAGTTTTTTACTTCCTTGTATGAAGTAAAAAGAAAGCATTGTAATCGCGAAAAGTTTCAGACAGCATATTTCAACGAAAATATCCATTTTGACTGCTATCGAATGCAATTTAACGATGTTCTTGCATGACATCTGTACGCAAGGACAGAATAGAGGACTCTTTCTCCCCCAAAAAATTATAAAACATTTAAAATGAATCTGAAGAGACTTTTTTTTTTTTTTTTTTTTTTTTTTTTTTTTGTGGCGTCTGAAATTTTGTATATAGGAGGACTGCTATAACATGTAGATAAGCACCTCCCATTTTGGTTGCAACTGGCCGCACCAAAAGTATATATATATATATCCACTCTGTTAATAGGCTCAGTAAGTTCAGTTTCTTAATTCTTATATGTATGTAAATTGTGCATTTTTTGCTTTAAAATGATTGAATTATGATATTCTGGTTAAGAATTTAATGCCTTTAGTTAACCTGCATACAATAATTGTGGAATTATTAACAATTTAAAAGTTTTTATATGCGGCTAAGCCTAATTTTTGATTATCATAGCAGCCATATTTTTTTGCATTTGAAACTTAGCAGAATAGTGGATTTGTTGCCAATCTAGAGAAACTATGCTTCGCAGCAACGTCTAATAAAAGTAGCGTCTTCTTTTATTATTGCGAATTAAATTATGCTTAATTCATTTTGGAATTATCATTTAAGTTATAGCTTGTTTTTGCGTAGAAACTGTAATTTTAACGGTAAATTTTTTTTTTAAAATTGTTTTAACTGTACTTGGTTTTTTATGTTTTTCTATATCTTTCAATTTTTAATGAAAATATTTTGAATTTTTACGTATTTTTGCCTTGCCGCTAATTTCTTTTATATATTGTTTTAGATTTATTATAGTATTTGAACAGAACTTGTTGTAATTCTTCAGATGATATAATTTTTGTGCACTCTGAGTTATAAAACGAATGAGATGTAACGCTGTTAAATAAACCTAGCGCCGAAATGTCCTTATTGTAAATAAATATAGTGAACTTTAAAGATTGCATTTATTCTATTGTGTTTTATGCGCTATCGACGAAGTAGATTTAATTCAAAATTCGTTAATTGTTAAGTCAATATGTTTAAATGAAATAAAGGAAAATTGCGTATAATTTAATATTACGTACAAGGAAGTCATGGGTGTACACATCAGATATTTTCAAACTATGAACTTTTCTAAGATGGCACGCATTTTCAACTTTTTTTTTTTAGATGACGAAATGCTAGTTAAATAAAATAATCTGAGTATTATCAAATGAAATGTTGGCAATTCAAAAATAAAGCACCTGATTTAAAAAATTTTATGAGTAAACTATAGTAATTTTGCGTTTTGTGTGCATAGATATCTTTTTACAGATAAAAGTAATTAAGATTATTTATTTAGATAAATATTACATCTTGAATAAGTTGGTCAGAGATTGTGAAGTGATAAAAATTGGACAAATTTTCGCAGCATTTGTAACAAGGCCATTTTTTAGTTATAAAAATATTGCAGTCTAATAAAATGCACTAAAATGGTTGTGAGTTTAGGCAAACATTTGGTATTGACACCGTAAGTTGCAAATATGATCATGCTGCTTCCGATAAAAATATGTGGCTAACGACGGAAAAAATGTCTGCAAGTGTCAAAGCAAAGCAAAAGATAAATATCGAAGTTAATAACAAAAATTTGGTAAAATCTGAGGAACTTCCAGGAACCAGTCAGAGTTTTGATAGTGATTCCTTTGATGAACAGAAAGATCCGTTTGAAAAAGTACTAAATTTAAAAGAAAAGAGAAGGTCAGCTCTTAAACCTTGCGACAGTTGTGAATTTAAAGACATTCTGGATGATGTTCCCACCTGGTGTTGTGGATTATGCCGACCTCGTTCGGAATCGGTGGAAGAATTTTGGTTAATATCAGTACCAAGGAAAAAGAAATCGCAACAGATTTTCGATCAACTTAATGTTGTGACGGAAAATAAACATTTATCTGTCAATTACAAATTCCACATACCTAATTTTTTGATTGGAACTCTAGATAAACTTATAGGATTACTCGGAGATTTAAAAGAACTGGATTCATATACAGAAGATTTAGTTCAAAGAATTTTTAACTTAATGAGAAACATTGTGGATGATACTGATAAGCTGAAAGATAACCTTATGGTAAATGATATTGATTTACCAACATATGTGATTAGATTCACATGGAACAAAGCCAAATATCCTGAGCAGCAGTCTCTGAAACACATATATTACATGCTTAAGAAGGAAATGGGAAATTTGGAGAATGATATGGAACAAAGATCTGGTGCTTATTTTACCTCGCAGAGCAAAGTCAGCATCTTAGAGGAAAGGGAATCTGGAAATTTAATACGCAGACCCCTGGCTGATATTGTAAAAAAAGAACATTTTGTTTTGGGCTCTAAATATTTAACAACGCTCTTAGTTGTTGTGCCAAGCAACTTGGAAAAGGCATGGCATGCAACATACGCCACCTTAGCGGAAATGGTTGTACCGGATTCAAGCATCAAAGTTTATGATGACAAAAACCATTACCTTTATACAGTTACTTTGTACAAGAGATGCGTGGAGGAATTCAAAACAAACGCTAAGCAGAGAAGATTTTTTGTTCGCGATTTCGAATATTCGGAACAGGATTTAGCTGCAGATAAAATGAGAAGCAAGAAGCTTAAAGCGGATAAGTATAGAAAACTTGTTTTGTATTGGACATGGTTAAAACTGAGCTTTGCAGAATGTTTCAGCGCTTTGATACACATTAAAGCCCTTAGAATTTTTGCCGATTCCGTAGTCAGATATGGACTTTCTGTAAATTTTCACGCTATATTGATACAGCCAATTAGATGTGTAAAACTGAGAAAAGCTTTAGATGAGCTGTATAAGGATATCAATATTCATTTAGCTGCTGGTACCATTCCTGAAATACCGAGAAGTTTACAGAAATTTAATGTGCAGGAGTATTGCCGTTATGTATTTCTTAAAATTAACCTAAATTTCATTGACGGATAGCAATAAAAGTGATATTTTAGATATTACTACCAGTATTTATATATGCCTATGCATTTCAGATTTTTAGCAATATAATATTTCAAACAGTTTTGCACCAGGTATGTAAAAGCTTTAGAAATATATTTTATAACATTTAATTCACCTAGTACCTGACTTTTATATTAATCTTAATTTCGTAACTTCTTTCACCAGAATGAAAATTAATATGTGTTTAAATAGCGATTAAATTTATATTTAAAGAAAAAATTGTGGCAACCACTCCATTCAGTATTACCCCGACGAGTGTCCCATTCAGCCGACCAGCGGATTTGGTGAGTGAACTTTGTTAGCGTATAGATTTAGAATTACTAGTATTTCCCTATTATAACTATCCCGTTCTGTAAACGGAACCAAGATTATCGATAAATCGGCAATGCAAACCATCTTCAATTGACGTTATTCCTCATGACGACATTCCTAGTTTTCTTTGAGATGAGAAGAGGTTCGAATAAACCTCGTGTAACCGTATTTTCTTTCTTCTTCTTTCTTTTCTCTGTATAAATGTTAATAATTTACGATCTCGGTGCTACTTTGGTAGACGGTTTCACGGATTTTGGCGATTTTTTGGCGATTTTCCTTTGGCGAGTAATACAACTTATGGTAAACCCATTGCTGGATAAGTTATTTATGGTAACCGATACTTTGTTGTCATTTTATTTAAAAAAATAATGCGTTTTATTGTGCATAAATTCCGTGTTTAAAATAGTATTTATGGCTTTTAAATATTTAAAAATCAATTTAATTTTGCATTCTTATTTGAAATAAAAATTTATTGTTTATCATATTTTATGAAAATTTTATGTTGTGAATGATGTAATCAATGACGTCGCCTTACTTTAAAAGTAATTCGTTTTAATATGTATAAATTTAATCTATGTTTTAAACATAATTTATGGCTCTTAAATATTAAAATACAATTTAATTTTGCATTTTTTAAAAAATGATTTTATTATGTATGAATTTTTAAATAATTTTAATTCTAGCCGTGATGTAATAAGCTCTTGATTGGTTATAGAATATTTGTGCATTAACGAGCTGTAATCAGCTCCCTGATTGGTTACTGACAATTTGTGCATTTCCGCGCCGTTTAAAATTTAATTTATATGTTCGAATTCCTTCAAAGATGTCTTCAAAGATGTTATCTAAATTATGATTCTGATTTTTTATTGTGCTACTTATCAATAAAACAACAGGTTAAACACTCAAAAAAAATGTAAGTACATATTTTTCTTTATTTTATAATTGTATACTTCAATTTTTGTTAAAAAAAATTAATACACTATTTCAGAAATTGCTGAGATAATTATTGTCCATATGTTTTAATATTAATTATATTCTATATAACGTATTTTAAAGTATTTGAATTTAATAATATTCTAATTCTTTTAAATGTTGGTATGATGGTTTTTAATTCAATATTCAATTTCAGTAATATTTTAATCTAATTAAACGTTGGCCCAATGTTTTTATAGTGGTGTTTTTATTCTCTTCTTTTCTATATGAAAGTAATAATAATCTTACTTTAGTATTTTATACTCATAGTAAATGTATTTATTTACACTTGCCTGCCATCTTAAAAATGACATTTTCAACAAAAAATTAATCCATTACTTTAACGATATTTATTTATTTTTTTTTAAGTTTCGAATACTTTACTATGCGTAAAAAACAGCGTTTTTCAAGATGGCTGACGTTTGTAAAAATCGCGCCAACAATTCGGCCAACGTAAATCGCCAAAAAATCCGTGCAACCGTCTACCAAAGTAGCACCACGATCTCTAATAATTCTCTTGTCACAAGAGACTGTTTCATGTCTTAACGTATATAATTAAAAAAAAAAAAATTGTTTGATTTACCGTGAAGTGAGCAATGCTATATTTTTTTTGCAAGAAAGAAGGATAGTTCCTTATTATAGCAGCCCCTATGATTGAATCGCTAATCAACCGAGATATCTCGTCACACGCTCTTATACCTCGCTACATGTTACAGTTTTGCTCTCACGTGTTCTTATATTAGCATCGCTTTTCACTTTTGTTAAGGGTTTCGAATTCGCATTAATTTTTAATCTGAGAAACTGGCCACAGCACGAATTTATATGTTAAACACGAAATCATTTGAAGGTGAAATTTTAGAAATCGTAAAAGAAAGAAGGGCCTCCATGTTGGAAATTGGTTCAGTGATTCAAGAACAGTATTTGTCACTGCTACTAGATTTATGTATTTATCCATTATTTTTAACGATATTTATTTTTTTAAAGTTTCGAATACTTTACTATCCGTGAAATACGTCAAAACACCATTTTTCAAGATGGCTGACGACTGTAAAAACCGCGCCAACAATTGCGCCAATGTAAATCGCCAAAAATCCGTGCAACCGTCTACCAAAGTAGTACCCAAAATCGGACTTTTTCTGAAATGACATGCCATTTGTTTTCCATATTTCGATTCTACGATTCAAATTATGTCAAACTGCCAAGTTTTGTAAAAATCGCGACTATATTTTAAAAAATTAGCTCTGAAAGTTCTAGCTCCTCAATGTTAATTGAATTCGGTATATACTATTCGGTAGATTATCTTAGGCAAAGGACTTAAATAATAGAGAGGCAAATCCATCAAATAGCATGACAAAGCTTAATATGTGTGAAGATGCTGCACCTGATTAGAGCAATTACATGCGGGAAGTGTGCTCCCTACATTTGATGCGAAGATTCAATGGCCGAACAGGCGATCGCAATAAAATATTTGAAATGGAGGAAATGGAGTTTGTTCGACGTAAGAACAGCAGTGGCACAGTATTCCCGCAACAGCAGTTTTTTAGAGGAATATTCCGGGTTGGGAACTTTGGGGTTATACTGGCGCACAGCAGGCAATTTTATCCTGCTCATGCTAGTTCCTTATCTAACCCCTTTCTGGACCTGACGGTGATCAAACCATATAGGATGATTCTCCCGAAGAGGCATATATGAGTAGGAAGAAGAAGCGGAGCACCTTGCTCCTGCATGGAATCTCCCTAATTGAAGATTCTGTTGTCGGGAGCAGAAGCGTAGCTATGGTTTTCAACGCTCGGGGACAACTGAAGATTTTGCGCCCCTTTCTGTGTGCCAAGAATGGAAAACATTGCATTCTAAAATTTTGTGACTTCAATTTGGCGACCTCTGGATGCTACGCCCGGGGAGAGATGATCCCCCTTGCCCCACCCTAGCTACGCCACTGGTCGGGAGGGAGGTCCAAGAACGCCGTGTGTCACGTGATGAGGAACAACGTGGAATAACAAATTTCGAATAGATGTGCTAGTACACTTAAATTATTCAACATGGTACACTGAAAAAAATAAAATAAAATAAAAAAAAAAAAATGAAAATAAAAATATTTGACAGTCCTATACCTTCCGTTTTACTGGGCCGATTGAAGAAATCTAACTTGCGTTTTTCATATCTCGAAAGCGCGACTTAAGATGTATTAGATTTATATATAGCATTGCTCTAATACAGACATTTTGATGCAAAATCGGGTGCTACTTTGGTAGACGGTTGCACGGATTTTGGCGATTTTTTGGCGATATTCTGGCGATATTTTTTTGGCGAGCGATACGCCTTATGGTAAACCCATTGCTGGACAAGTTATTTATGGTAACCGATACTTTGTTGTCATTTTATTTAAAAAAATAATGCGTTTTATTGTGCATAAATTCCGTGTTTAAAATAGTATTTATGGCTTTTAAATATTAAAAATCAATTTAATTTTGCATTTTATTTGAAATAAAAATTTTATTGTTTATGATATTTTATGGAATTTTATGTTGTGAATGATGTAATGAATGACGTCACATTATTTTAAAAGTAATTGGTTTTTAATATCTATAAAATTTAATCTAATGTTTTAAACATTACTTATGGCTGTTAAATATTAAAATACAATTTAATTTTGTAATTTTTTAAATATGATTTTATTATGAATGATTATTTAAATAATTTTAATTCTATGCGTGCGTGATGTAATCCGCTCCCTGATTGGGTTATGAATATTTGTGCATTTCTGCGCCATTTTAAAATTTTATTATTCATCTCTTCGAATTTCTCAGATTTCAAAACGAATAAATGAATGTCTCCGTTTCGAAGATAAATGTTGTTATTGGTAATTACCAAGAATTATTGGTATCGGCATAAAAAAATTGCCGTTTGAGACTTTATTTTGGACAACCTGGATTTCCTACTCAAAGATTTATTTATTGTTACAAGGTTCAGAAGAAATTTATTAAAAATTTTTGAGGAAACCTCGCTAATTGTTTCTTCAATGAAGTGCGAGAGATGGGGATAACAGATGAAAATCGTTTTTTTTTCTGGTACTTATCAATATACTTAAGGTAAAATGCTTAAAAAAATGTAAGTACATATTTTTCTTTTACTTTATTATTGTATACTTAAATTTTTATTAAAAAATTAATACACTTTTTTCAAAAATTTCCTGAGATATTTATTGCCACATATGTTTTAATGTTAAATAATTATATCCTGTGAAACTTATTTTAAAGGATTTGAATTTAAGTAATTGAAAAATTTAATTCTTTTTAAACGTTGGTTAATGTTTTTTAATTCAATATTCAATTAAAGTACTATTTTACTCCAATTAAATGTTGACGCAGTGTTTTTATAGCGGTGTTTTTATTCTGTTTATTCTGTTATATAAAAGTAATAATTTAACCTTACTTTAGCATTTTATACACTTAGTAAATCTCTTTATTTACATTTGCCAGCCATCTTAAAAAAAACAATGTTTTCAAAAAAAATTAATCCATTATTTTTAACGATATTTATTTTTTTAAAGTTTCGAATACTTTACTATCCGTGAAATACGTCAAAACAGCATTTTTCAAGATGGCTGACGACTGTAAAAACCGCGCCAACAATTGCGCCAATGTAAATCGCCAAAATCCGTGCAACCGTCTACCAAAGTAGTACCCAAA